TCTAGTAATGTATTCGAAATAATGTCAATTGTGTGCAAATAATAAAAATCTAAATTTTGTTTTCGTTTATACGCGTCAAAATTATTAGTGCCATATTTATTCTAGTAATGTATTAGAATTCGATATAAAAGTTCTACGAACTAAATAAGTGGATAATGTCAATTGTGTGCAAATAATAAAAATCTAAATTTTGTTTTCGTTTATACGCGTCAAAATTATTAGTGCCATATTTATTCTAGTAATGTATTAGAATTCGATATAAAAGTTCTACGAACTAAATAAGTGGATAATGTCAATTGTGTGCAATAAAAATCTAAATTTTGTTTTCGTTTATACGCGTCAAAATTATTAGTGCCATATTTATTCTAGTAATGTATTCGAATTCGATAAAAAAGTTCTACGAACTAAATAAGTGGATAATGTCAATTGTGTGCAATAAAAATCTAAATTTTGTTTTCGTTTATACGCGTCAAAATTATTAGTGCCATATTTATTCTAGTAATGTATTCGAATTCGATAAAAAAGTTCTACGAACTAAATAAGTGGATAATGTCAATTGTGTGCAAATAATAAAAATCTAAATTTTGTTTTCGTTTATACGCGTCAAAATTATTAGTGCCATATTTATTCTAGTAATGTATTCGAAATAATGTCAATTGTGTGCAAATAATAAAAATCTAAATTTTGTTTTCGTTTATACGCGTCAAAATTATTAGTGCCATATTTATTCTAGTAATGTATTAGAATTCGATATAAAAGTTCTACGAACTAAATAAGTGGATAATGTCAATTGTGTGCAATAAAAATCTAAATTTTGTTTTCGTTTATACGCGTCAAAATTATTAGTGCCATATTTATTCTAGTAATGTATTCGAATTCGATAAAAAAGTTCTACGAACTAAATAAGTGGATAATGTCAATTGTGTGCAAATAATAAAAATCTAAATTTTGTTTTCGTTTATACGCGTCAAAATTATTAGTGCCATATTTATTCTAGTAATGTATTCGAAATAATGTCAATTGTGTGCAAATAATAAAAATCTAAATTTTGTTTTCGTTTATACGCGTCAAAATTATTAGTGCCATATTTATTCTAGTAATGTATTAGAATTCGATATAAAAGTTCTACGAACTAAATAAGTGGATAATGTCAATTGTGTGCAAATAATAAAAATCTAAATTTTGTTTTCGTTTATACGCGTCAAAATTATTAGTGCCATATTTATTCTAGTAATGTATTAGAATTCGATATAAAAGTTCTACGAACTAAATAAGTGGATAATGTCAATTGTGTGCAATAAAAATCTAAATTTTGTTTTCGTTTATACGCGTCAAAATTATTAGTGCCATATTTATTCTAGTAATGTATTCGAATTCGATAAAAAAGTTCTACGAACTAAATAAGTGGATAATGTCAATTGTGTGCAATAAAAATCTAAATTTTGTTTTCGTTTATACGCGTCAAAATTATTAGTGCCATATTTATTCTAGTAATGTATTCGAATTCGATAAAAAAGTTCTACGAACTAAATAAGTGGATAATGTCAATTGTGTGCAAATAATAAAAATCTAAATTTTGTTTTCGTTTATACGCGTCAAAATTATTAGTGCCATATTTATTCTAGTAATGTATTAGAATTCGATATAAAAGTTCTACGAACTAAATAAGTGGATAATGTCAATTGTGTGCAAATAATAAAAATCTAAATTTTGTTTTCGTTTATACGCGTCAAAATTATTAGTGCCATATTTATTCTAGTAATGTATTCGAATTCGATAAAAAAGTTCTACGAACTAAATAAGTGGATAATGTCAATTGTGTGCAAATAATAAAAATCTAAATTTTGTTTTCGTTTATACGCGTCAAAATTATTAGTGCCATATTTATTCTAGTAATGTATTCGAAATAATGTCAATTGTGTGCAAATAATAAAAATCTAAATTTTGTTTTCGTTTATACGCGTCAAAATTATTAGTGCCATATTTATTCTAGTAATGTATTAGAATTCGATATAAAAGTTCTACGAACTAAATAAGTGGATAATGTCAATTGTGTGCAAATAATAAAAATCTAAATTTTGTTTTCGTTTATACGCGTCAAAATTATTAGTGCCATATTTATTCTAGTAATGTATTAGAATTCGATATAAAAGTTCTACGAACTAAATAAGTGGATAATGTCAATTGTGTGCAATAAAAATCTAAATTTTGTTTTCGTTTATACGCGTCAAAATTATTAGTGCCATATTTATTCTAGTAATGTATTCGAATTCGATAAAAAAGTTCTACGAACTAAATAAGTGGATAATGTCAATTGTGTGCAATAAAAATCTAAATTTTGTTTTCGTTTATACGCGTCAAAATTATTAGTGCCATATTTATTCTAGTAATGTATTCGAATTCGATAAAAAAGTTCTACGAACTAAATAAGTGGATAATGTCAATTGTGTGCAAATAATAAAAATCTAAATTTTGTTTTCGTTTATACGCGTCAAAATTATTAGTGCCATATTTATTCTAGTAATGTATTCGAATTCGATATAAAAGTTCTACGAACTAAATAAGTGGATAATGTCAATTGTGTGCAAATAATAAAAATCTAAATTTTGTTTTCGTTTATACGCGTCAAAATTATTAGTGCCATATTTATTCTAGTAATGTATTCGAATTCGATAGAAAAGTTCTACGAACTAAATAAGTGGATAATGTCAATTGTGTGCAAATAATTAAAATCTAAATTTTGTTTTCGTTTATACGCGTCAAAATTATTAGTGCCATATTTATTCTAGTAATGTATTAGAATTCGATATAAAAGTTCTACGAAATAAATAAGTGGATAATGTCAATTGTGTGCAAATAATAAAAATCTAAATTTTGTTTTCGTTTATACGCGTCAAAATTATTAGTGCCATATTTATTCTAGTAATGTATTAGAATTCGATATAAAAGTTCTACGAACTAAATAAGTTGATAATGTCAATTGTGTGCAAATAATAAAAATCTAAATTTTGTTTTCGTTTATACGCGTCAAAATTATTAGTGCCATATTTATTCTAGTAATGTATTCGAATTCGATAAAAAAGTTCTACGAACTAAATAAGTGGATAATGTCAATTGTGTGCAATAAAAATCTAAATTTTGTTTTCGTTTATACGCGTCAAAATTATTAGTGCCATATTTATTCTAGTAATGTATTCGAATTCGATATAAAAGTTCTACGAACTAAATAAGTGGATAATGTCAATTGTGTGCAAATAATAAAAATCTAAATTTTGTTTTCGTTTATACGCGTCAAAATTATTAGTGCCATATTTATTCTAGTAATGTATTCGAATTCGATAGAAAAGTTCTACGAACTAAATAAGTGGATAATGTCAATTGTGTGCAATAAAAATCTAAATTTTGTTTTCGTTTATACGCGTCAAAATTATTAGTGCCATATTTATTCTAGTAATGTATTCGAATTCGATATAAAAGTTCTACGAACTAAATAAGTGGATAATGTCAATTGTGTGCAAATAATAAAAATCTAAATTTTGTTTTCGTTTATACGCGTCAAAATTATTAGTGCCATATTTATTCTAGTAATGTATTCGAATTCGATAGAAAAGTTCTACGAACTAAATAAGTGGATAATGTCAATTGTGTGCAAATAATTAAAATCTAAATTTTGTTTTCGTTTATACGCGTCAAAATTATTAGTGCCATATTTATTCTAGTAATGTATTAGAATTCGATATAAAAGTTCTACGAACTAAATAAGTGGATAATGTCAATTGTGTGCAAATAATAAAAATCTAAATTTTGTTTTCGTTTATACGCGTCAAAATTATTAGTGCCATATTTATTCTAGTAATGTATTCGAATTCGATAAAAAAGTTCTACGAACTAAATAAGTGGATAATGTCAATTGTGTGCAAATAATAAAAATCTAAATTTTGTTTTCGTTTATACGCGTCAAAATTATTAGTGCCATATTTATTCTAGTAATGTATTCGAATTCGATAAAAAAGTTCTACGAACTAAATAAGTGGATAATGTCAATTGTGTGCAAATAATAAAAATCTAAATTTTGTTTTCGTTTATACGCGTCAAAATTATTAGTGCCATATTTATTCTAGTAATGTATTCGAATTCGATAAAAAAGTTCTACGAACTAAATAAGTGGATAATGTCAATTGTGTGCAAATAATAAAAATCTAAATTTGTCAATTGTGTGCAAATAATAAAAATCTAAATTTTGTTTTCGTTTATACGCGTCAAAATTATTAGTGCCATATTTATTCTAGTAATGTATTCGAATTCGATAAAAAAGTTCTACGAACTAAATAAGTGGATAATGTCAATTGTGTGCAAATAATAAAAATCTAAATTTTGTTTTCGTTTATACGCGTCAAAATTATTAGTGCCATATTTATTCTAGTAATGTATTCGAATTCGATAAAAAAGTTCTACGAACTAAATAAATGGATAATGTCAATTGTGTGCAAATAATAAAAATCTAAATTTTGTTTTCGTTTATACGCGTCAAAATTATTAGTGCCATATTTATTCTAGTAATGTATTCGAATTCGATAAAAAAGTTCTACGAACTAAATAAGTGGATAATGTCAATTGTGTGCAATAAAAATCTAAATTTTGTTTTCGTTTATACGCGTCAAAATTATTAGTGCCATATTTATTCTAGTAATGTATTCGAATTCGATAAAAAAGTTCTACGAACTAAATAAGTGGATAATGTCAAATGTGTGCAAATAATAAAAATCTAAATTTTGTTTTCGTTTATTAATGTATTCGAATTCGATAAAAAAGTTCTACGAACTAAATAAGTGGATAATGTCAATTGTGTGCAAATAATAAAAATCTAAATTTTGTTTTCGTTTATACGCGTCAAAATTATTAGTGCCATATTTATTCTAGTAATGTATTCGAATTCGATAAAAAAGTTCTACGAACTAAATAAGTGGATAATGTCAATTGTGTGCAAATAATAAAAATCTAAATTTTGTTTTCGTTTATACGCGTCAAAATTATTAGTGCCATATTTATTCTAGTAATGTATTCGAATTCGATAAAAAAGTTCTACGAACTAAATAAGTGGATAATGTCAATTGTGTGCAAATAATAAAAATCTAAATTTGTCAATTGTGTGCAAATAATAAAAATCTAAATTTTGTTTTCGTTTATACGCGTCAAAATTATTAGTGCCATATTTATTCTAGTAATGTATTCGAATTCGATAAAAAAGTTCTACGAACTAAATAAGTGGATAATGTCAATTGTGTGCAAATAATAAAAATCTAAATTTTGTTTTCGTTTATTAATGTATTCGAATTCGATAAAAAAGTTCTACGAACTAAATAAGTGGATAATGTCAATTGTGTGCAAATAATAAAAATCTAAATTTGTTTTCGTTTATACGCGTCAAAATTATTAGTGCCATATTTATTCTAGTAATGTATTCGAATTCGATAAAAAAGTTCTACGAACTAAATAAGTGGATAATGTCAATTGTGTGCAAATAATAAAAATCTAAATTACCAAGGCAATATAATTTCCATCGGCGGATCGCTAGTTGGCATCGTTTACGGTCAGAACTAGGGCGGTATCTGATCGCCTTCGAACCTCTGACTTTCGTTCTTGATTAATGAAGACATTCTTGGCAAATGCTTTCGCTGTAGTTTGTCTGGCCACGGTCCAAGAATTTCACCTCTCACGGGGCCATACAAATGCCCCCGTTTGTCTCTGTTAACCATTATCTCAGTCCGTAAAACCAATAAAACTGAACCGAAATCGTTTTCTATTATTCCATGCACGATCATTCAAGCGAAAACGCCTGTTTGAAGCACTCTGATTTGTTCAAAGTAAACTTGCAATGCCTGTTAAGAATCCTGTTAAGGACTCTAAACCGAACATTACGAAAAATCGATAACACCCAGAAACACCCGGAGGGTTCCAGGGTACCGATACGAATCCAACTACGAGCTTTTTAACCGCAGCAATAATTCTATGTATTAGCAGAGCTGGAATTACCGCGGCTGCTGGCACCAGACTTGCCCTCTGCTTGATACTCGTTAAAGGGTTTAAATTGTACCCATTCCGATGACCGGCCTCAAAGAGAACGATCTCGTTATTTCTCGTCACTACCTCCTCGAGCCGAGAGTGGGTAATTTGCGCGCCTGCTGCCATCCTTAGACGTAGTGGCCATTTCTCAGGCCCCTTCTCCGGAGTCGAACCCTGATCCTCCGTTATCCGTCACCACCACGGGAGTCGATTATGCTCCCGTCAAGTTGATAAAGTGGACGCTTGAAAGACACGCCGCCAGCACAAGGCCATGCGGTCAGCTTAGTTATTCTGAGTCAACAAGAAGCAGCCGAAGCCGCGTGGTTTTGTTCTAATAAATGCGCTTTTCCGATAGGACAAAGCTTTGGTGCATGTATTAGCTCTAGCTTTTCCACAGTTATCCATTTAGATAATCAAGATCAAGTAAATCATGGCCATTGTAATGAGCCGTTCGCGGTTTCTCGTTAAAACGATTAAACTTATACATGCATGGCTTAATCTTTGAAATGAACACATCAGTTCAGGCAGGATCAACCAGATATCTCGTAAATCTAGGTAAAATTCACTCACGAAATCTGAGCTTAACATTTTACCCAAAAAAGCGATAACACTCGCACCGTCGGCGCCAGAACGACCACGAGGCGAGACAGATTTGGTCTCACAATCAATCTCGGGCCACTTGCTGGCTTTACGAGCACTTAAAAGTTTGCTTCGAACCGACCAAACGCTCATCTTGCCAATTCAGCAATGAATTGGCATAAAATTCATATCCTTCAACAAGGACGCTTCGTCTCAACACAAAATCTCAACTTTTCACTTTACCAACACAGCCAAAAGGCTACATTATTTTCAAATTTTTTTCTCTTTTCATCGAGATTAAAGCGAATTTCTTATTTTCAGCCGAGAATTTATTCTCAGATGAATTCATGCTTGTCCTTCGTGATTTAAACCAAAAACCGCTATAATCTCGGCGCGGACTCTCGACCTTCGGCCACACTCAAAAATTAATAGATCCCTAGCCAATTTAAATGAACAGAAATCGATTTAAAACGGTTAAAAATCAAAGTAGCACATTTGAGTCTTCAGAAAGTACCATAATCAAGTTGATTTGATGCTAAGAATTTAAGTAAAAGGGCATCAAGAAACACGGAAGGACTTAATATCTGCTAAGTCGAGAATTATTTATTTCCTATACATTTTTCCTTTCCATTTCCTGTGCAAACAACCACTTTATTTTGCAATTCGCAAACACACAGCCACTTAATTTTACTCAACAGACAACCACTTTTCCAATATAATATGAGTCGTGGCGAAAAGAGAAATGGACAAAATGCAACCCCAAGCTATGCGCCACCAAGAGAAAAATAAATGTAAAGAGAATTAAAGCAAGAAAGAAGGCAAAAAGTGGTCGTAGAATTAGTAAAAGTGGTTGTTTTTATAGTAGTTATTTAATATTAGTAGGCAATTTTTTAAAAATTTGGTTCTGACCCCTTCACACAGCAACATTAAATTTGAATTTTTGAATTAATTTGAATTTTTGGATCTATGAGTAATCATTATGATATTCTTAATAAGATTTAAGTAGTTAGTCATACGTACTTATTCCATTTTTTACCGCCCTTTCCTAAAGGTTAAGGCTTGTCTGGGTGCCCCGTCCCTTTTATTTTGAAGATTACAACTACTTTGAAGATTAATATTTTTTTAATTTATATGCACATATTTAATATCCTCAATAATTTAGATACAAGTAGTAACTTTAAAATTTTCCTCAATAATTTAGATACAAGTAGTAACTTTAAAATTTTCCTCAATAATTTAGATACAAGTAGTAACTTTAAAATTTTCAAATATTAATAATTTTATAATATTAAAAAATTTTTGAATTAAAATTTTTAGAAAATTAAAAAAATTTTTCTATACAGATTTTTTAAAAAAATTTTCTATAAAAAATTTTTATATTTTTATAAAAAAATTTTTATAAAAAAATTTTTATAAAAAAATTTTATTTATACATGAAAATTTTTTTAATTAAAAATTTGATTAAATATTATTTCTATAAAAATTTTTTTCTATAAAAATTTTTTTCTAAATTTGAGATGTAAATGATATACGATACAAAGTTAACCTACCTTCTTTTGATATTACAAAATGTGGGTATCACTATAAAAACGTCAAAGAAGAAGAACATGAGGAGAGTGAATTTTAAAGAATTTTTTGAAATTAATTCTTTTTTTTTTTTTGAATTTATTTTTTTAATTATTTTTTCTCTTAATTATTAAAAAATCCTAATTAATAAAATAATTTCTTTTCTAACACCACCAACAATTCTTTTTTTTTAATTTTAAAAATATTTTTTCTTTAATTAAATTAATATTTTTTTAAATTTAAACCAACAATTTTTCAATTATTAAAAAAAAATTTTCACTTAATTTAAAAAAATCCTTTTTAATATAATAAAATTATTTTTTTCTAATACCACCACCTATTCTTTTTTTTAATTAAAAAAAATTTTTTTCTTTATTAAAATCTTATTTTTTTAATTTTAAACCAACAATTTTTCAATTATTAAAAAAAATTTTTCACTTAATTAAAAAAATCCTTTTTAATAAAATTATTTTTTTCTAATACCACCACCTATTCTTTTTTTAATTTTAAAAATATTTTTTCTTTAATTAAAATAATATTTTTTAAATTTTAAACCAACAATTTTTCAATTACTAAAAAAATTTTTTTACTATTTTGAAAAAAAACTTTTTGAAGAAATTATAAAAAATTTCCGATTATTTCGAAAAAAAAATTTTTTTACCATACTGAAAAAAAATCTAATGTATTCGAATTCGTATTCGAATCTAGTAATCGTATTCGAATCTGTATTCGAATCTAGTAATGTATTCGAATTCGATATAAAAGTTCTACGAACTAAATAAGTGGATAATGTCAATTGTGTGCAAATAATAAAAATCTAAATTTTGTTTTTGTTTAGACGCGTCAAAATTATTAGTGCCATATTTATTCTAGTAATGTATTCGAATTCGATATAAAAGTTCTACGAACTAAATAAGTGGATAATGTCAATTGTGTGCAAATAATAAAAATCTAAATTTTGTTTTCGTTTATACGCGGCAAAATTATTAGTGCCATATTTATTCTAGTAATGTATTCGAATTCGATAAAAAAGTTCTACGAACTAAATAAGTGGATAATGTCAATTGTGTGCAAATAATAAAAATCTAAATTTTGTTTTCGTTTATACGCGTCAAAATTATTAGTGCCATATTTATTCTAGTAATGTATTCGAATTCGATAAAAAAGTTCTACGAACTAAATAAGTGGATAATGTCAATTGTGTGCAAATAATAAAAATCTAAATTTTGTTTTCGTTTATACGCGGCAAAATTATTAGTGCCATATTTATTCTAGTAATGTATTCGAATTCGATAAAAAAGTTCTACGAACTAAATAAGTGGATAATGTCAATTGTGTGCAAATAATAAAAATCTAAATTTTGTTTTCGTTTATACGCGTCAAAATTATTAGTGCCATATTTATTCTAGAAATGTATTCGAATTCGATAAAAAAGTTCTACGAACTAAATAAGTGGATAATGTCAATTGTGTGCAAATAATAAAAATCTAAATTTTGTTTTCGTTTATACGCGTCAAAATTATTAGTGCCATATTTATTCTAGTAATGTATTCGAATTCGATAAAAAAGTTCTACGAACTAAATAAGTTGATAATGTCAATTGTGTGCAAATAATAAAAATCTAAATTTTGTTTTCGTTTATACGCGTCAAAATTATTAGTGCCATATTTATTCTAGTAATGTATTCGAATTCGATAAAAAAGTTCTACGAACTAAATAAGTGGATAATGTCAATTGTGTTTATACGCGTCAAAATTATTAGTGCCATATTTATTCTAGTAATGTATTCGAATTCGATAAAAAAGTTCTACGAACTAAATAAGTGGATAATGTCAATTGTGTTTATACGCGTCAAAATTATTAGTGCCATATTTATTCTAGTAATGTATTCGAATTCGATAAAAAAGTTCTACGAACTAAATAAGTGGATAATGTCAATTGTGTTTATACGCGTCAAAATTATTAGTGCCATATTTATTCTAGTAATGTATTCGAATTCGATAAAAAAGTTCTACGAACTAAATAAGTGGATAATGTCAATTGTGTTTATACGCGTCAAAATTATTAGTGCCATATTTATTCTAGTAATGTATTCGAATTCGATAAAAAAGTTCTACAAACTAAATAAGTGGATAATGTCAATTGTGTGCAAATAATAAAAATCTAAATTTTGTTTTCGTTTATTAATGTATTCGAATTCGATAAAAAAGTTCTACGAACTAAATAAGTGGATAATGTCAATTGTGTGCAAATAATAAAAATCTAAATTTTGTTTTCGTTTATACGCGTCAAAATTATTAGTGCCATATTTATTCTAGTAATGTATTCGAATTCGATAAAAAAGTTCTACGAACTAAATAAGTGGATAATGTCAATTGTGTTTATACGCGTCAAAATTATTAGTGCCATATTTATTCTAGTAATGTATTCGAATTCGATAAAAAAGTTCTACGAACTAAATAAGTGGATAATGTCAATTGTGTTTATACGCGTCAAAATTATTAGTGCCATATTTATTCTAGTAATGTATTCGAATTCGATAAAAAAGTTCTACGAACTAAATAAGTGGATAATGTCAATTGTGTTTATACGCGTCAAAATTATTAGTGCCATATTTATTCTAGTAATGTATTCGAATTCGATAAAAAAGTTCTACGAACTAAATAAGTGGATAATGTCAATTGTGTTTATACGCGTCAAAATTATTAGTGCCATATTTATTCTAGTAATGTATTCGAATTCGATAAAAAAGTTCTACGAACTAAATAAGTGGATAATGTCAATTGTGTGCAAATAATAAAAATCTAAATTTTGTTTTCGTTTATTAATGTATTCGAATTCGATAAAAAAGTTCTACGAACTAAATAAGTGGATAATGTCAATTGTGTGCAAATAATAAAAATCTAAATTTTGTTTTCGTTTATACGCGTCAAAATTATTAGTGCCATATTTATTCTAGTAATGTATTCGAATTCGATAAAAAAGTTCTACGAACTAAATAAGTGGATAATGTCAATTGTGTGCAAATAATAAAAATCTAAATTTGTCAATTGTGTGCAAATAATAAAAATCTAAATTTTGTTTTCGTTTATACGCGTCAAAATTATTAGTGCCATATTTATTCTAGTAATGTATTCGAATTCGATAAAAAAGTTCTACGAACTAAATAAGTGGATAATGTCAATTGTGTGCAAATAATAAAAATCTAAATTTTGTTTTCGTTTATTAATGTATTCGAATTCGATAAAAAAGTTCTACGAACTAAATAAGTGGATAATGTCAATTGTGTGCAAATAATAAAAATCTAAATTTTGTTTTCGTTTATACGCGTCAAAATTATTAGTGCCATATTTATTCTAGTAATGTATTCGAAATAATGTCAATTGTGTGCAAATAATAAA